AGACCTCAATTTCATTTCATGATGGGATACCAAACTAACCCTAATTTCTCCATGTTTTTTTCCTCGGAAAACGACGACCAAAACCACCACAATTATGATCCTTATAACAATCTCTCTCCATCAACTTCGGTTGATTGCACTCTCTCACTTGGAACACCCTCCACTCGTCACGACGACCACCGAAGACTTTCTTCTGCTAGTTCTAACAATATCTCTGGTGACTTCTTCTTTCACGGAGGAAATGCTAAAACAACGTCGTACAAGAAGAGCAGTGGTGATCACAACTTGGCTCGCCGTTGTGCTAGCTGCGACACCACTTCTACTCCTCTATGGAGAAACGGGCCAAAAGGACCTAAGGTAATTTAATAATACATTTGTCATATATGATAGCTAATGCAATTAACGTGGATATGTGTCGATGTCCGAGATGACAATATAGTTAAAAAAATGCGTAAATTGAAAATGAAAAAAAGACGTTAGCTAATGCAAAAATATATTCTAGAAAGTACATATATTTCTAAACAAACTTTGTCACATCATGCTCATTTTTTGTTTTTTTTTATAATTCTTTTATAAAAAACATATTTTACTCTATTAAATCCTTTAAAATAGGTTGTGTTCCGCTTATATATCAATTTTTTTTTAAGATGTCAATTATCTATTTATCTCAATTTTCAACAAAAAAAAAATCAACAATTTTGGATGTGACAAATTAATGATTTTAATTTTGGGCAGTCGCTATGTAATGCGTGTGGAATCCGATTCAAGAAGGAAGAGAGGCGTGCGACCGCAAGAAACTCTACCTCCGGCTCCGGTGGTGGTTCATCGGCGGCAGATGTTCCGGCAGATAATCCGTACAACGGAGGTGCACACTATTACAATCATCATCATCACTATGCTTCGCCGTCTCCGTCGTGGGCTCATCAGAATACACAGAGAGTTCCATATTTCTTCCCGGCGCCGGAGATGGAATATCCATTCGTTGATGACGTCACGGCCGCCTCGTTCCTTTCTTGGAATTGACGTCACGTAGCGATTCGATCGCCTTCTCCACCATTTTGACGAGATGAAGAAGAAACGTTAGTTATGGATGATGATGATGAAAGATCTTATCATAGATTCTCACCCAAAGTAAATCAGTCTTGGTCAAATTCATTATAGTTTCTTTTTATTTATTTCTTACCTCGACTCTATCTACTTGTGCTTTCTTTTCATGACTTTTTGAAACTTATATCTATATATACGTACTGTTTTGTAACCCTTTTGATGTTTCCACTTGCTTTCACCATATACGATACATATATCTCAACTTTATATTGAGCGATAGTGTGCTTGTTTCCTAGCAAATATATCTACTAGTACTATGTACGGTTAGAGAAAATATTTATAACATTCTATTCCGATTAAAAAAAATCCTAATAAATTTAAATTTACGCAGAAGAATACTATTTCTTCAAGAATTGGACAATATGAAGGTTTCAAAGAAAAAAAGAATTGGACAATATGTTCACGTCGGAAGTGTACCTATTTTGTGGTATGGAGAGTATCATTCATTTGGCAATTAAAGGGGAAAAAAAAACTATGTCTACCATGCATGCATGATTAAACGAACCACATAAGAATTTTGGTTTATGTTCACTAATTAGACCAGTTTTGAAAGGTAAACATGTGAATGAGATGGTGGGGAGGTTGATCGATTGCACCTGGATATTTGTTAGATATC